AAACGTAATTTGTTATGTTTATGATCCATACCGGGTTTTTCTAGTATTCGTGATCCTATACTATCATATCCTATACTCTTATACGAGCTATGTTTGTAGTATACATCTCGAAATCCAGCGGAATGATTTTGACTAAAATTTGGAATTAGAGACTTCTAAGTCCTAAAAACGTGATTGGCGACAGGCACAACCTCAGGAAAATTCGTATTTCACTACACAACTCGTTTAAAAACTATAAAATTTATCATTGGCCTTATATTATGGGTTGCTAAGTAACTATTTATTTTGGTAGAACAAAATAACAATGAAAATTAAACAAAAGACTTGTGTTGTAATGTAACATGTGTTCACAACAAGAAATTCACAGCCTAGCCAAATAGGCCTACATAATACAGTCCGATTTTGATGAAATTCTGTACAAACGTGTAAAGCACGGGTAACTACGTTTATTTGAACGAGTTCGCGATCCAGCATGATCGGACTATGGGAACGAGGAATTTCTTTCCAGACCTTTTTGTAGAGTTTAAAAAAAGAATTAATTTTGTATACTGAAGCGTTGTTGTAAGCCTAATGTTACGGAGGTAATTTATAAAAAAAACTTTAAATTTAAAATTCCTATGTTATTCTTATGGAGAATTAATAAACTGTTGTAGTTTGCGTTTATGGACATATTTGAATCAAATTTGGCAAATTTGTTTTTTTCATACTAAGCTATCAACATTTCAATCAAAAACGCACCTTTCCTGCAGCAACAAACCTAGGTACTTATTTAAATTAATGTTATTAATAAATCTGAAATTTTTCAGGGAATATTGTAGTAGAGATCCAGCCAGGTAAATGGAAAATCACATCAGTCTGCAGGTTCGCTGCGGCGGGGGTATTTCATAGTTTACATAATTTGGACAGCTGTATTCAGGAAAATTTATATCATAATAAATTGAAATTCCAATGAAACTTAAATAATAAAAGCCAAAATTAGTTGTAGGCCTACATAAAACGTGAGTTTCATTTATATTGCTTTTAAATTTGAAATGAACTACATATAACGAGCCATGGCCGGTATTGTAATTAATGAATTAAGTGAGCCGCTGGTTATCTTATGTTCTCAATGTCCACTTGTCTTTGCTTTGACATCAAAGGGAGCTCCACTCACTCGTTTACATATCGTAATTATTCACTCCTTGAATTATGTGCATGATCCTCTGAGAGAGTGTTTACAGTGTAAAGGGAAATTCATCTAATTGAATAATTATATTACATTTTTTTTTATTATAAACTCAATTCTGTATGAAGTGTTCTGTGTATTAGCGACACTGGTTTTCTAAGTTTAAAGTTATAATTTTTTCAACTGATTTGATTTTGTGTTCTGAATTATACAAACGCTAGCCATAAGGTCTAAATTTGTATTTATTTGAAGTTCTTAATCTGCAATTAAAATAATCCTTGGTATTCTCAGATACGAGCTATGTCTGTTTGTCTCTATATCTTGAAATCCAGTGGAAGGACTTTTACAAAATTTTGGAACTAAACTAACCCTAAAAGCTTTATTGGTGAAAGCCCCTACCTCAGAAAAATTTGTATTTCGCTACACAACTCATTTGAAAATTTAAACATTTAAAATTGGCCTTTTTTCAACTGATTTGATTTTGTGTTCTGAATTATACAAACGCTAGCCATAAGGTCTAAATTTGTATTTGAAGTTCTTAATCTGCAATTAAAATAATCCTTGGTATTCTCAGATACGAGCTATGTCTGTTTGTCTCTATATCTCGAAATCCAGTGGAAGGACTTTTACAAAATTTTGGAACTAAACTAACCCTAAAAGCTTTATTGGTGAAAGCCCCTACCTCAGAAAAATTTGTATTTCGCTACACAACTCATTTGAAAATTTAAACATTTAAAATTGGCCTTATGGGTTGCTAAGTAACTATGATGGTTGAACAAAATAGCAAGGAAAAAGTAAACAAAAGAATTGTCACTACTCACATGTGTTTATAACAAGCCATCCACAGAATACTTATCAAATTACAAAATACAGTAACACGGGAAAAATATCAGTTGTAACTTTTGAGCAAAGATTAATATTAGACTGAAGATTACTCGATATATAGGGGGAAATTGTTCCGATCAAATACTGATTATTTTACTTAACCCTCTCTCGCCAAAACTTAATCCCTGAAGAAACTGAGGCATCCAAGTAAACTAATTACATCTAGGGGTTTTAATTGGCATACAACTATTACCGTATGTTAAATCCCAATGGAAAAAAACAGACAGAATCTCAATTTCTTTAGAAGTTGTATCGAAAAAGCGGAAAATCTTTGTCGCAAGCCATTTAGAAAAAATATGATTTTTGTGTCATATTTTTATCTGCTATCTTTAATGAGACTAAAAGTTGTACAGCGGATTTCAATGCCTAGAGGGACGAAAATTCTGCGCGAGTAGCACTTAAACCTAAGCAAGCTTATAAGAATGTTTCTTATTTTTGTTTTAATGCATGCTTTACATTACAGGGTTGTTATTATTTCAGCGATCAAATGTCTGTCTTTGGTTTATAATAAACACCCCACTGCAGCAAACCTGCCGACTAAGCGAATTGCCATTTGCCTGGATTGATTTTCAATTACCTAATCTATTAAACATTTATTTTCACCGAGTACATAGGTTTGCTGTCACAGGGAAACTAATAAAGTGTGTTTTTATTAAAATAATAATAGCTTAGTATAAAATAAATAAATCTGCCAAGTTTGATCAAATATATCCATAAACAAGCCAACTCTACAACATTTTACAATACAATACTCTCCATAATATTAACATGGGAATTTTAAATGAACTTTTTTTTTAACTTTCTCCGTAACCAAAAACACTTTGATGTACTAAATTATTTGTTTTTTAAGCTCTTTAAAAATGTCTGGAGAAAAATTGATAAATTTTGTGTTTTAAGGGTAAAAAATGACAATACCCCATTTTTACCCCATAAAACCCCCCGTTAAACACCGTTCCCATGGTACGATCATGCTGGTTCGTGAACTCATTTAAGTTTATCCAGCCTTACACCTTCACACCAAATTTTATCAAATCGGAAAAAAAATTATTTGAGTTATCGTCTTCACGGATACACGCATATATTTTTTATGTGTATGCCTTATATATATATATATATATATATATTGTATTTGATATTGTTCACGTTTAGGGCTAGTGTAATTAATATTAATAAATAATACACCATAGTACCCTTTTTTTAATTATTTTTAATGACTATATTAAGTCATTAAAAATAATTTAAAAAAGGGTACTATGGTGTATTATTCATTAATATATATATGTGTTACTAAGTAAATTAAAATACCAATAAAGTACCCTAAAAACAATTTTTACGCGTGTTTTGGACATTAATGCCATGATCACAGAAAATTAGGTACCTAACCTATTAATTTATTTTATTTACAAACATTATTAGATATTTCTTGTTTAAAGAACAGGTGATAATTTTGATGTTAAGGGAAGGAGGTTTTTCTTTAAGATTAATAAATTCATGGAATATGACGTATATTTATATAATTAAATATGTATATATATGGATAAATATATTTTTGGCCTCTGGGGGCATCAAAATGAACACTGGACCGATTTATCCCGGGCCTAGGTCTTACAATGAGACCTACGGTAATAACTACTTCCCTATAGGGAAATTCGTTTAAAAATTATAAAATGTTCGTTTACAATATTATTTTATTTTAACGATTAAACCCAATTTTAACTTAAAACCGAGCATGGCTAATAACTCGGTACTAATAACTTATTAGAATTGTTTAACTAAGCAGTTGATTTCAACGTCATGGTTAACTTGAAGAAACATTGAAAAATAAGAGAAAACTAGTGTCCCTGTTGCTCGAATTCGTATGTTTTATCTATGGTATTACAGACGTTATTTAAAACGAATTTCAAACAAGTCAGCAAATGTTTGTAGCAAACTGTTAAATTAGCAAACTTGTTTGCTGTTTACAATTAACGCTCTTCTTCTCACTTTTGATTTCTGACATGAGCTGGAGTTTCATAACAATTGTTGTTTCCAATTTTAATCTTATGGAGAAATACGAAACTTTAAAGGGCTCGGGCTCCAGGGCATCACTCTCTCATTATTTTCCTAAAAAGAAAGTTTCCTGCACAACATCACGTTACACGTTATGTTCTTTCCAATGACACCAAAAACATGACAATCGGTTCAGTAGTTTCGGAGGAGTAATTGTCACAAAAAACCTGCTTGCGTATTAAATAAGTACTAGTGTACCTATATTGCTCGAATTATCTAAAGAAAGTGTTTATTAGTATCTAGTAATAATATTGACACGACCTATCCGGCATCGCTTGTATTGGTGACGAATGAAGTAATTGAGGTAACATATATTTCCCACAACCCGCAATCACAGAGAAATCGCAGAAGATCGCACTCGGTTTCAGAAACATCATCCTTTCCCACTATCACATAGTGAATCTTGAAGATCTCCATGGAACTAAAATATTTTATCATCATCATCATGGCAAAATCATGTAGTCCTCCAAGTCATCATCGTAATCTTCTGTGAAGCAGATTACTAAGACCCAAGACATTCCGTTAAACTTACATGCAATTCTGCAGTTTCTTGGAATAAAATAATAACTATCAAACTAAGAAATCTGGTGTGACTTACCAATACTTTTCATCAGAAATATAAATATAATAACATAAATAAAAAAAGAAGGAAGCATTGAAGCATCAAGAAACACAACGTAGAAACACACACACACACACAAAGAAGTATGATCAGTTTGGAAACAGTAACCTACGCAGCTGCATAGTCTAACTGAAATTGACCAAAAAAGGAGGAAGAGAACAAGAATTTTGGCTTGGTTTTGAAAATATGGATTTGAAATCTTTGGTTCCATTGGAACAATGGATTCTGCATTCTATTCCTCCTGGTTCCTGTTGTAATAAATAAGTGTGCAGTGGCAGTGTAATGTGTAATAGGGTAAAAGCGTAATCTGTTACTACTACTGTGACTGTGACTGTTTTTTGAGCCGGTAACTGTAACGATAACTTGTTATTTTCTAACCCACCCAAGTAGGCCTAGGCCTAATCTGTGGAAATCTAGATACCTCTGCGTTTTTTTAATGCATTAAACCTACATTCAATTAAGTTATTATTATATTTCAGATAAACAGTAAACACAAGTATGTCCGATAATGAATTTTCAGGAGCTGATATTGATTTTGAAGAAACTTCATTCCGGCCCCAACACAGGGCATTAAGAAGTGTAGTCTGGGACCATTTCACAGTGATTGATAGAAAGAATCAAATCGCCTCTTGTAATGTCTGTGAGAGAAGGTTATCCTACAGAACTACGGTCACTAATTTGAAAAAGCATGTTATTAGAAAGCATCCTCATGGTGGATTGTCTGAAGATAATGCCCACCCTAGAGCCAGTGTGAGTGCTAGAAAGAGAATACCGGTATCGGACATCCGGAGAACAACAACAAAGGCAAGTGTTAGTGTTGGTAAACAATAGGCCTAGGCTAGATTAGCTGGCCAATGTAACCTGACAATGATGCTTCAGTTTTTTATCTTACTTAGGCCTAAATCACTTTTAGCTACAGTGTAGGCCTATTTTATTAAGGCCTAACCAGTATCATACATTTTGCCAGGCCTAATAGTGTACCTAACCAAGTCCAAGATGAGTCACCCTGTTTGAAATTTGGGTTAGGCCTAATAGGCTATGCATTTTAGGGTTTACACACGATTTTTGATTGGAAATTATTTAGATGGGGGTGACCAAGCGTTCTATAACTTAGTAAGTTATATAATCACTCGAAACTAGATTTTTACCTGAAAATAATGGTGCAAAAACTTTTCTGCTGCCACAAAAACTGAAATTAGGCCTAATACGATTTTTTGAAGGTTATTACTGTAATGCCTCTTGTCGGCTGGTCGCTGTCGCCATAACTTTACTGTGAATTGACTGACCAACACAAACATGAACGATTGAAATTGAAAGGATGATTTTTACCTGAAAATAATGGTGCAAAAATCTTTCTGCTGCCACAAAAACTGACTTTACTTCGATTTTTTCAAGTTTATTACTGTAATGCCTCTAGTACTTGTGTGAACCTGGCAATAACTCGGCTATAAGTAGTGCATGCGCCATAATAAATTATTGCTGGCCGCTTTGCGGCAAAATACGTCCGCGATCCATATTACCAATAATGCCAACGGATAAAGGACACTTTAACGGACACGACAGTACCTATCAACATTATGTACCTGGAGAGTAGGTTAAAAGGGGTAAAATCAGCAATAAGTAGTGCGCGTGCCTGCTACTTAAAATCTATTGCTGGCCGTTTTGCGACAAAAATACGTCCGCGATCCATATTACCGATAATGCCAACAGATAGAGGACACTTTAACGGACACGACAGTATCAAAATTAGTCTATGTACCTGGGGAGTAGGTTAACCCTCCGAGTGTTATGTGTCGGAAAATCGACACATAACACACTTTGTGTAGTGTTTTGTGTTGATTTTTCGACTCACAAACACTGTTTACGGCAAAGGCTCTATGAGTGACAAAATCGGATTGAACTGGATTGAGTTAAGTTAGGTATCGTTTTATTTGGCAGGTTCTAAGCTTTCTCCCGAGGTCTGTCTCTAAGCGCTTTTTTTGCTCGAGCCGATCATAATTGTAGCAGACAGCTGACGTGCGTATTTGTAAACAAACAGCTTGGTTAACCTCGCACCGATGACTGATGTGTTTTATTACATTTATCATTGTTTTAGTGTTAAAAATCAAAAGTAGTGATATAGGCTACGTGGTGCATTATAAGAAGATTTAAGTGATTTTGAAGGGCTGGTTGATGATCCTGAAGAAGTAGGTAGGCTAGTGATATTGATGTAAATTATCAGCCAGATTCCTAGCTATGGTTAGGCTATGCATTCTTAGCTAAACGCTATGTACTGAAATCTGTTTTTTGCCCATAACTTATTTATTTGCAAATCTACTTCCTGATTTTATTATATATTTGTAATACTCATAAAATTTAGAACAAAGTGGCTATTTTCAAATATTTATAGGCCTATAATTTATACAATTTCATTGAGCGAGTTATAGGCCTATAATTTATACAATTTCATTGAGCGCAAACTTATTTATTTTTTTTTTTCCAAAATATTTTTTTTTTTACCTAAAAAAATGTTTTGAAACAAATGTTCCTTATGTTTTATGTATAATATTGAAGCCCATGATTTTCCAAACAAAATGGTATATAGAACAGTATAATTAACATTGTTTTTAAGCTTCTCAGATCTGTTTTAATAAAACCTTGCAAATGCGCAAAAAATAGGCAAACATTAATGCCAAAACTAGGGACACTCGGAGGGTTAAATTAGCAATAAGTTGTGCGCGCGCCCGCTAAAATCTATTGCCGGTTGTTTTGCGGCAAAATACGTCCGCGATCCATATTACCGATGATGCCAACAGATAGAGGAAACTTTAACGGACACGACAGTATCAACATTATGTACCTGGGGAGTAGGTTAAGGGAGGTAAAATCAGCAATAAGTAGTGCGCGCGGCCGCTAAAATCTATTGCTGGCCGTTTTGCGGCAAAATACGTCCGCAATTCATATTACCGATGGTGCCAACTGATAGAAGACACTTTAACGGACACGACAGTATCAACATTATGTACCTGAGGAGTAGGTTTTAAGGGGGGTAAAATCAGCAATAAGTTGTGCGCGCACCCGCTAAAATCTATTACCGGCCGTTTTGCGGCAAAATACGTCTGCGATCCATATTACCAATAATGCCAACAGATAGAGGACACTTTAACGAACATGAATCAAAATTATGTAGCTGAATGCTGTTAATGAGCCGAAAATTACGTGATTTGTGTTGGGATGCTAGCCTCTTGGACTGCCATTTTATTTCAATGTTTTATCACTTTTTGTTCACATATATTTAAATCACATTAGGTTTAACGAGTACCCAGATTTGCTGCTTTAAGGAGGCTAATAAAGTGTGTTTTTAGTAAAATATTAATAGCATAGTATAAAACAAATTGGCCAAGTTTGATCAAAATATATCCATACATGAGCAAATTCCAACAGTTAACAATAAGTATTTTCTATAAGAATAACATGGGAATTTTTTATTTACACTTCTTTGAATTTTCTCCGTAACTAATAACCGTACAAAAAAACTTTAATATAGGTACTTAATTATTTGATTTTAAGCTAATGAAAATTGTCTAGAGAGAAATTGGGAAAGTTTGTGTTTTAAATTTTTTGTGTCAAAAATTACAAAACCCCTTTTTTACCCCATAAAACCCCGTTCCCAAGGTCCGTTCATGGTGGTTCTCAAACTCATTGGAAGTTTATCCCGCCCTTCACCTTTAAGCCAAATTTCATCAAAATTGGACAAAAATTAGGCCTACTCAAGTTATCGCGTTTACGGACATATATATAATATTTAAATCAATATAAACGGATGGTGTTTTTTGCATCTGGGGACATCAAATTGAAAAGTAGATTGGTCCCGGGTCCAGGTCTTACCATACGACCTAAGCTAATAGCTTATTCCCTATATTCGCGCACATGTCGAAAGAGAGAGTCTCGGATGCTAGCCGCCTAGTATAATGTGCCACATTTGAACCAATGCCCCACAACCGATTTTGTGCATCCCGGGAGGCAAAAAGTCACCGGACGCTTGAATTTCAGCCTCCGAGCTGGGAGGCTCAAAATCGAGCGTCCTGTGGCTTTTTTAGCATCTGACGCTGGAATCCCTAGTATAATCGCCCCTATTTGATTTAATGCCCCGCTAGCGTCCTAGTATAATCCTAGCTTAAAGTGCAGCTACTACCTTTGCAGCACCTACCTAAACCTTTATGCAGTCTGGTCATGGGCAACCACCCTGAGCATACACACTTTATGGACCGGGTGAGACATTATAATAGCTGCTTTGATATTACATCGATTGGAGCAAAACCGGTTGTAGCTGAATTGTTGACTGAAGGCTGTTGGAACTTAAACACTAATTTATTAAAAATATCAACAATGTGAAAGTTTCCGTAGCGAAGCACGGGTATTCCGCTTGTATGATAGCGATTGACTTTGAAAATGGCCTTAGAGCCTAAACTATAGTCAGTAAATATTTTAATAAATAATTTTTACTTGGGTAGGTACTAAGTTTATTAGGGCCTAATGTTTAATCTTCTATTATATATAGTAGCTCTATTATTCTATTTTTCAGATTTATATAAATACTAGTGGCCTGTAGGGGCCATAGCCCCTAATTTATACTACAAAAAAACCATATATAAAAAGACAAATATTCTAAATATGTTTTTAAAATTAATTATCAATTTTATGTTACTTAAAATTAACAGTGTTTCTTGTTTTATATCTTGGTTTTCCTTCCGTTTTGGAGTCGTATATTAGTTACTTCTGATGTGTCAATGAAATACAATTGTAAAATAATGATTAAATCAATAACACAACATATTAACAAATGGAAACGTGCACACGGTTTGGCCTGAGCCCGGAGAACGACGAATCAGAGCTGAAACCATACAGCCAAACACTGCACATCTTTTCTAGTTTAAAATTGAAGATTTGTTTTGTAATCTTACGAATTCTGTTATAGTTTCAATTTTGAGAACCAAATGTAAAGGTTAAAATTATTATGAGGGCAACTCCCCGAATTTGTCCCTGAATTTTAAGACAGTAAGACCCAGGGTGTCATTTACTTGTGGTTGTGGCATTGCCCATGCGTTGAAATTTCCATTTGTGGCCTCCTCTGCGAAGTGAAATGCGCCACAATGCATGCAAGTGCTTTAAGAGGACCTAGATTGTGAGAAACAACACTCAACTCATTTTCCAGCGTTCTTCTAAAGATAGGGTGTAAAACAGTTTCTGGATTTCTTTCACAGTTAGGCCCTACATGACGTTCTCTTTTGCATTTCTTAAGTCTGTTGAATTCCTGGACACTCTTCCACGTCTTGCAGGTCTTCCCCTACCCTGTCTAGTTACTTCACTCATTATAAAAACGGAAAACAAAAAAAATTAAACACAATTCATTTTTAAACATTATTTACCAACATTGACTTTCAGAATAAATGTAAACATTGCAAATAAATAAGTAACAGCTGATAGAATGCAGACGTTTTTCAGTCCCCATGCATTTCTTATGGTGGATATTTTACGTTATATCTCGTTTTCTGGTAACTTTATGGGAATTCTGTTATTTTTCCCGAGTCCCTGGGGTCAAGACCTTTAATTTAAGACCCCTCCCACGATTCTGCGACTTACCACACGTCCACAATTTTCTGGTAAAAATTTGGTCTTACAGAATTATATATATAGATATATACGTCTGTAAAAGTGATAACTTGAGAGTAATTTTTGTCCGATTTTGATAAAATTTGGTTTAAAAGTGGGGTAAACTCGAATGAGTTCACAAACCATCATGATCCGACCATGGGAACAGGGTTTTATGGGGTAAAAAATGGTTTTTATAATTTTTGGCCTTCAAAACACAAAAATTCCCAATTTTTCTCTTTAAAGAGCTTAAAAACAAATAAATTAGTATATCAAGGTATTTTTTACGGTTATTGGTAAGAGAAAATTCAAAAAAAATTTTAATTTTAAATTTCCACTAGTGGCTTGAAGGGACATAAGTCCCTGAAAAGCTCAAATGTAAAACAAACTATTGTAATACAGTATAAACAAACTTAAATAAATCTAATACATATCAGATATATATCCCAGTACAACATATCTTTTGTGTAAAAAATAGTTTGTTGTTTGTCTTTGTTTGCTTTTGTTGATGTTATTTTTAATAAATAATTTAAATTATTCCAAAGGTTTAACTCTGCTAAAGGCAGCAAACATGTTTGTGAATAAATATTAGTTTACTAAGGTAGCTTTGGTCTTTTGATAATAAAAAGGCTTTCCTGATTAAAATATTGGAAATTGTCTTCGTCATGAAAAGGCAAATAAAGGTGTGTTGAGATAAGCTTAGTTCTTAGTTAAAACCGCTAAATTAGCACCCCGACCCAGTTATTATTTCTAAGTGCATGCTCCTTTTGTAAACACACAATAAATCTCAAATTAAAAATGTTAGTAAGTACCTATACAAACGAGTGTAGAATAAATCTTTAACAAATGTTTTGAAATCAAAACAAAGCAGAAGTTTTCAACAATCTTGAATCGATTATTATTTAGTCAATGTAGTTATTTCATGTTGAACATTCCTTCAACACAACAATAACCGTTAAGTTAGAAGAAAAAAACTTCATAATTATTTTCAGCCATTCTAAGTTTAATATCTTTTCTTCCAATTCTACAAAAAAGCTTACAATTCCTTTGATTTGAGTCATTTCCTATGGTTCTACTACTTATCATACGCTTAACTAATTTACTTAAAAATACACAAGTTTGCCAATTGCACAGTAAAATAATTGATTTCAACATTCTAAGACGTAACTAAAAAATATTTATTATTATAGGTAGGCCTAAAGTTATCCCTGGTTTTATATACAGTAGTATACAGTACATTGCAGAATTGACTGGCAACTGAGTAGGCCCTAATCCAAATGTATATTGCTTACTGGTTTGATGATTAATCACGATCAGCTGTATTGAAGTAAACAAAAATCAGCAGTAAATGGCTTCTAATGCATTTCTTTTGGAGAACATTTTACATTATATCCAATTTTGTGTTAAAATTTAGGGAATTTCACTATTTTTCCCACCGTCACAGGATCGAGACCTTTAATTTGAGCCCTCTCCCGTCGTTCTACGACTTCCAAGTCGCCCACAATTTTGACGCAAAATCGGCTTACGTAATTAATATATCCAGATAGATGTTATTCTTATGGGAGAATATTGTAAAATGTTGTAGTTTGCTAGTTTATGGATATACTAGCTGTACCCGCGGGCTTTGCCCCGCTTAACTTCATAAGTATTTGCATGGCTCAATCACGTTGTGGTTGAAGTTCGTTCGCTACGCTCACTCACCTTCAGGTTGGAAATCGTTCGCTGCGCTCACTTGTTTTCAGGTTAGCTCGTTCGCTACGCTTACTCGCCTCCAGGTTGATGTTCGTTCGCTACGCTCACTCACCTTTTGGTTGCAAATTAGCTGTTGTCATAAATTTTAAAAAGTCATCCCTTTTATTGTTTATAATATAGTACTTTGATAAAGGTTTTTATGTTTTAATTGGGCCAATGTCAGACTTTTTGATCTACAATGTTTACAAATAAATATAATTTAAAAGCAGATGTTTACTTTCACCAACTGTTTTGTAGGTTTGAATAATCACAACATTCTATATTAGCATTAGTCATGATTTGAAATAGTGCCACAGTGTTTCTACAGATTGCAACACAGAAAACTATTTTACTTTTAAATAAGTCCAAATGTATTAAACCCCAATCGCAGCACACCTGTGCACTTAACAACGTTTAAATTCTCCAATGTTAAATATTCAAAAGTAAAATAGTTTTCTGTGTTGCAATCTGTAGAAACACTGTGGCACTATTTCAAATCATGACTAATGCTAAATATAGAATGTTGTGATTATTCAAACCTACAAAACAGTTGGTGAAAGTAAACATCTGCTTTTAAATTATATTTATTTGTAAACATTGTAGATCAAAAAGTCTGACATTGGCCCACTTAAAACCCTCTGGGGCAGAGCCCTTTTGACGGATCTGCACCAAACTTCACTCGAACCATCCTTGAAAGATGCTCAATAATGCCTGAAAGTTTCATTACAATCTGTCGAGCGGTTTCGGAGTCCATAACGTATATACACACACACACACACATACATACATAGTTCCTCTTTTATAGATATAGATTTTGATCAAATGTGGCAAATTTATTTATTTTATTTACTAAGCTATTAATATTTTACCAAAAATACACTTATTAGTTTCCTTGAAGCAGCAACCCTAGGTACTCGGTTAAACCTAATGTTATTTAAATAGGTAGGTAGATTGAATTGAAAATCAATTCAGACAAAGGGGAATTTGCTTATTCAACAGGTTGGCTGCTGCGGGGGTATTTTATTGTCTTTAATGGTCAGGCTTGAAAAACTCTTAAAAGTCAATTTGGTCAAAAACAGATTAGTTTTTTTTTTCAGAAGGTAAGTAGGTTTAGCACAGCAGATCCATCCAGTTGAAGTTATTCAGTAGTCCTACAAAGTTGTCAAGATATTTAGGCAAAAAGATTTCTAAAGGTTAGGCTTCCCGTAGAATTGCTGTTGAAGTCTACTATCTCAAAGACAAAGCCTACTACTCGCTGGAGTTCATTTAAGACCCTCCATTAGGCCTAGGCTGAATAATGCCTGTCTACAGCCTCTGTTATAGTTATATGTTAATCGTATGTTGTATGTGTAAGTGAGTTTGTGTTTATAACGACGCCATCAATCCCCCATGGGGTAAAAGATAAACTGGTAGTTTAGAGGTAACTTTTAATCTTACTAACAGTTGCTGTCTTACAAATAGAATTATTAAGTACCGGTATAGAATTATATAACTTAGAATGATATTTTTTAGGATGAATATCATCACAGAGAAGTAAAGCCCTTTGACATCCGGAAAACAAAACTAACAGATCTAGGGGGCCTAGAGGGACTAGTCCTCAACATTGTTGGTGAGGACGGGGTTGTCTCGGAAAACGAAGGCAATGAAGAGCAGAACTACAACAACACAGAAGAGGTTCATGACCAAACTGCAACAGATGACAACCAAGTGGAAAACTCACCTAGAAAAGAGTATCGAGGTAAGCTATTAGCGTAGGTTTTAATGGTAAGGTTTGGACCTGGGATCGATTTATACTTTTTCGCTTTGATGTCTCCAGAGGCCAAAATCACCATGATCAAATTCACATTTACATACATATATATGTGTCCGTCCCCCGGAGGTCAAAAATACCATCTGTTCAAATTCATATTTACATACATAACTTACATATGTAACAGTTGGGACACTTAGCTCGCGTTAAAATCGGTTCCGAATTTGAATAAATTTGGTACCTACAAACGTGTAAATCTCCGTTTATTCTAACAAGTTCTCGAACCAGCGTGGACTTGTGGGAACGAGAGTTATGGGAGAAAAATTAGTTATTCTCATTTTTGATCCCCAAAACATAATTTCTTTCTAAACAATTTTGTGGAGCTCAAAAAAAAACATAAGATTTAAACTTAGTATGGACCATCCAACAGGAAGATAAATTTAACTGTGATTATTACTCTTCAATTAAAAAACACTATTGCATTCCCTGAAGCAGCAAACTTGAGTACCTAAATTACAGTGTACGTTCGAAAATCCGAACTGCTCCTGAGGGTTTTAAAGTATTGAATTAGCACAGAGACAATAGATGTATTACAATTTCGTGGACCAAACAACCCCCCTTTGTTTTTCTTTGTTTCATTGTTTCATTTCAATTCTTTGTTAAATTTTCATATTTATTTACAAAATGTATTTATTGTTAAATCACACTCCATACTGTTGGTAATCCACAGAGCTGACACCAAAAAAAAAAAAAAATTAACATATTGGACATGTTAGTTGTAATGTCTAGCCTGACTGTAGCCATGCTATATACACATGACAATTGTCAATGCATTTTTGTAATGTCCAATGACAAATAAATATTTCTGATTTTCCCTCTCTCGCGCCCGGTGGGGAAATGAGTGAATGCGCTGAGCCATTAGCAGCGTTTTGTTTGTCTCCAATGTATAAACTCTACCTATTTTTTCAAGAAAAGAACTACAGTAATATACTGAAAATACCATTGTAACCATTGTGCCATTGTAGGAAGTACAAAAACCATTGTTTTTATGTTATTTACTGTAGACCTAATTATGTGCCTATTAGGCATTTAGGCAGAAGGTTATGTTTGAAAATCCGAACAAATCGGTAATCTGATCTACCTACAGTCCCAATTGGTTTGGATTTTTGACGCTCTATTGTACGGTACTCATAAAATTTAATGTTACCATATTTAAATAGGAAATAAATTTGACAATTTTAAGGAAATATTTAAGTGAAAATCCAACTAAGCAATTGTAAATTTTATTAGTCTGCTGCTTTGCTGCGGCAGAAGTAATTAACTGTAAAAACAAGGATTTTTCTGATACTTTGGTGCGGTTAATGAAATAAATGGTCCTGGCTAAGATACAAACTGCTTTCTCGGTGTAAATAGCAATGAGTGGTTGTTGCTAACCTGTAGGTAACCACTTGTTTAACTATTACGCACCCAGCACCAGTGTGGCACTTGATCATTGTAGCGGCTCCATCGGTACAAAGTTCCATACACTCGTTATAATCCTGATCTTGCTCAACCTAAAAAAATGTCTTTGGCCGTTTTATGTGACAGTAATACTTCACAAAATAGCATGTCTTCTACCCTGCTACTGTCTTCATATTTAATAACATAACACAGAAAATTTGGCACATTTTAATGTCTGTTTTATCAACAATTTACAGTGGAAAACATTGATTTATTCATACAGTTAGGGTATAAGTATTTTATTATTACAAAAGCAATGGTGGAAACATTATTTTGGTGAACAGTTGCATGGTCAATAAAATTAGGAAACTAACAAAAATTTTAGAGGCTTTTACTGTTCTAGTGCTTTGTGAAAATGACCTTATTGTGGTTTTCTCTCTTTGAGGTCAATTCCTCTATTTTTAAAATAAGCTGCATGTTTCCCTTTCAAATTAGCTTACCGTTGCGTATTCAAATGCTTCAAGAGAAGGGAAGGTCTCATTTTGTGTTTGGGTAGGTTTCCATACAAATAACACACTTAGTGATTAACAGATGTATTATCATTTTTATTCTGCTTTTAATTCGGTTGATAGTGGGTGTGATTGACTAGCGTCTCAGTTTCCTGGTCAGGAACCGATGAGAACCTCTTCTGTGAAGGAGTGGGGGATTAAGGAGGGCTCATCGGTTCCTGACCAGGAAAACAAGACGCTATAGGTGTGATTGTGTGAAGTTTGTTTACTAACCAACAAATAATTTAGATGAATTCTGATTTCACCAGATCTAAAAATTATTAACTTACAATGTTTAGAGCTACTGCGTGTCATAGATGACTTGGTAAAATGAATTATCTTTTGTGCAACTGTGCATGGCAGGGGACGGCCTGCAAGTCGTGGAACAGTTCAAAGGAACAGAACAGAAATAAGGAATATAGTGCATAATGCATATTCTCTAAACATTCTGCAAGAAAAAGTATTACCATCATTCAGAAGACCATTACATAATGAGTTGACTGTTTTGATTTTTGGGGACTTTTGTCCCTACGTGCCACTAGTTTTATTTTAATTCAATATCTGTTTTTTGGTAGGTAGTAGATCTCACCAAATGGATCCATCTGAGAAAAAGAGGAGGGGTCGAATAATGGATCTCCAATTGGAATGCTTGGAAATAAAGAAATATAACATGCAGTTGGAATCTCTGATGCTCGAACGTCAGCTGAACATGTGCAGGTCAATTTTCTCGGAACCTCTACGACACGCTGATACAATATCTAAGGGTATACAGACGGATGTAGGAGGGGAGAAAACCAGAGTGTTTTATTTGAGTGACAGAAAGGGAGGGGTACCTAAAAGACATTTAATTGCCTTGGAACATGATTCTGACTAAGTTAATCTTAGTGATTTATACTAAATATACTGTAACTCTGTACAATTAATTGTGATTATTTAATACCTTACTTGTGTTGAAGTAGCAGTGCTAGGCATAAAATACTGTAGCAATAATAGGATACTGAACTGCTAGAGTGAACGAAATTGACTGAGCCAATCAGATATTTAAGTTTTCGTCATACTGCAGCAAAAAAAGCCATTTTTAAAGCATGCGTTGTGGATGTAAAGCATTTTTACTCTCTATGAAAATCGGCTGTTTAACAATTGTAAATTTTGTTTGTGGCAATCGTATCGATCAAAATTATTTTATCAATTGATTTATTAGGTAAGGGCCTATTGTTGTCGATGGATTGACATATCAATATTATAATGTACTGTAACACAATGGTAATAGACGGAATGATTGAATCACTTAAACAGCTGCTTATTTGCATTAGCAGAATTGAACACAAACTGGAAGTCGTTTTGAGAGATTATCCTTACATAAAAAATATTTTGTTTTCTAGCTTAGTTTGTTAATTAATAATGCAATAAGAGGGGTCACAGTAATTACTAATTTAATATCAGCATTACCTTACATTGGTAATTTATTTCACCACACAGGCAAAAAGTGTCTTTTCAACCCACGCTCATTTTCCGTGACCTCGGGTCAAAAAGAGTCACTTTAGGCCCTAGTCATGAAATATACTTACTTCTTTCAAATCAGTAGGTACTTTCAAATCAGCTGTTTTAATTTATGTACTTTGTATACTTATTTATTGTTGGAAATAAATTACAACGTAGTTCGTTCAAAACATTTAGGCTGTTTTAGGAAGAAATCTATCCCCTCCATTTCACCCTTACCTTTAAAATAATAGCTCAACAACTGATCTAGCAACATACATTAAAAACAAAAAAGTGGTGGGGGAACTTTCACTCAAACCGCCTAAATATTGTAAGCCGAATACAGCCAGTGCAAATTACGAGTCACCGGAATTTTATCCCCCTGGAATTTTACCCCCGTGGATTCTGGAGTCAGATGAAAAGAGACAGATTTCACTCAGATAGAATTTTACTCCCTGACCGTATAACTAGGGCTTGGACCAAAGATGTAGGAATTTTTCCCTCCAGAATCTTATCCCCTGGCCAGATAAATAAATTGGCGAGAATAATCCTATACTCTAATACGAGCAATGTTTGCTTGTATGTATGCTTGCTTGCTTGCTTGCTTGCAGAAAGATCTCGAAAACGGCTCCGACGATTTTCTTCAAATCTTGTAAATAGTTTATTTTTGGCCTAAAAACAAGTTTCATGCAGTTAGAACTGCCAACAAAAATCTAATTACGTAGAAAAACGAAACTGAAAGTCACATTTTTTTAACATTAGTCTTATGGGTTGCTAAGTAACCATGTTGGTTGAATTAAATAACAAGGAAAAGGTAAACAAAAGACTTGAAGTTGTAGCACGTGTTCATAATAAACCAACTACCCACAGTATACTAGCAAATTACAAATACAGTACAAAAGGAAAAACATCACTTGTTAATATTGAGCAAAGATTATACCAAAGATTGATTATACTTAAGATTACTCGAGACATTGTAGTCAAGGGTAGCAGTGCGAAGTCTAGGATCTGTTTATGACGAATACATTAAGGTATCTGCAATCCTAAAATGCTATGGGAAGGGAAGGAAACAGGTCCGTGACGTAGGAAGTAGTGAAGGAAGTAGTAAAGGCAATCATAAAATGCTATGGGAATAGAGGGAAACAGGTCCGTGACGTAGGAAGTGATGAAGGAAGTAGTAAATGCGAGCAGTCCGGAGTGTGGGGACTGTTTATGACGATAAGATTAGGGTATCTGCAATCCTAAAATGCTATGGGAAGGGAGGGAAACAGGTCCGTGACGTAGGAAGTGGTGAAGGAAGTAGTAAAGGCGAGCTGTCCGGAGTGTGGGAACTGTTTATGACGATTAGATAAGGGTATGGGCTATCCTAAAATGCTATGGGAAGGGAGGGAAACAGGTCCGCGACGTATGAAGTGGTGACGGAAGTAGTCAAGGCGAGTTGTCCGGAGTGTGGGAACTGTTTATGACGATTAGATTAAGGTATCTGCAATCTTTAAATGCAATGGGAAGGGAGGGAAACAGGTCCGCGACGTAGGATGTGGTGAAGGAAGTAGTCAAGGCGAGCTGTCCGGAGTGTGGGAACTGTTTATGACGATTAGATTAATGTATCTGCAATCTTTAAATGCAATGGGAAGGGAGGGAAACATGTTTGCGACGTAGGAAGTGGTGAAGGAAGTAGTAAAGGCGATTAGTATGGAGTGTGGGAACTGTTTATGACGATTAGATTAACGTATCTGCAATTCTGAAATGCTATGGGAAGGGAGAAAAACAGGTCCGCTACGTTGGAAGTGGTGAAGGAAGTAGTCAAGGCGAGCTGTCCGGAGTGTGGGAACTGTTAATAACGATTAGATTAAGGTATCTACAATCTTAAAGTGCTATGGGAATGGAGGGAAACAGGTCCATGACGTAGGAAATGGTGTAGGACTTTGTAAAGGCGAGCCGTGTGGAGTTTGGGAACAGATTTATGTATCTCCGATACTAAGACTGCTTTCAGAGTGAACTAATGATTTTCTCCGAGCAAAGCTTGGTCCCCAGGTACTTAATTTTGTTAGATTAAAAAGACATCTTTATGTAAACGAGCAGAACTAACAAATCGATGGTTATATGCACAAACATTGTATGTCCAATTTTTTTTTCACTTTTGACATTTTTATATATTTGGAAAGCTGTAGTCTTCATCTTTCACACATATTGTATGTCCATATTACAATAGGAAAAATTAATATAAATGTTCACTTTGGTATGATGTAATTTTATCCTGCACACTTGTAGCATGTACAATGATTGCAGTACCAGCTGAACAGAGAGAAACTCCTTTAGAGCACAGATATAGTATCTTTGGACTTGCAATGATTGTGCATGAAAATACAAGGCCTACTATCTCTTTGGTTTTCATCTTGTAGTATGTCCAAAAATCTGATGATCTCAAGTGCACTCTTATAGTATGTCCACATTTTATTTTACATTTAGGTTAGGTTTAGGACATACAACATCTGTGCACAACAGAACATAACACCAAAAAAGAAACAGTGAATTGGCTAAAGGTAAAGTGGTTCGGGTTTCAAAAAGCAAACCCCTTTGAAATTCTATACAAGTACAAACTTAACAAGGAAATAGAGTTTTTGACTGTTGATGTACGAATGGATTCCGAGACGCCATTTGTCTGGGAACAAAAAATTCTCAGTCCGAAGTAGACCGAGCCTTTTCCGGTTTCCAGCGCCAAGAAAAACGATTTGATGTACGGTACTTAAGCACTTAAAGCAGGTGTAATCCCAGAAGCATACACGCATTTTGTCACTGAAATCCCTAGTTCGGGGTCGGCAAGAGATATTGTACCTTACGTCACCGAGGAGGAAGAAGGAAACGAGCCTCTTACTGAAGTTACCAAAAAGAAAGAAGGAAGACGCAGTAGAAGAGACGTTATAGGGCAAGAAACCAGAAAAAGGAGGACCTGACGCACCTTCGCCAGCAACTGTATAAGCAGACGGTGGCAAGGTTCGGCGTGGGAAACGTCTGGACCCAGGATGGCAGAGTGTTCTGGGTTGACAAGAGCGGGGAGAAGAAGGTGGCGACGAGTTTGACCGACCTACCAGCTTTGGCCCAAAACACTGCTTCAGTTAACAGTTAAGATTCTGTTTAATTTTTATCACCAGCTATTCTTCTATCATTTTTAATTGTATTATGTTATTATACATTTACATTTAATATACTTTTTGAGCGGAGCGAGCGAAGCTCTTATACGTCGACTTTTATGCATTTCGTAATACGCAAACTCCTCCTAAACGGCTGAATCAATCGTTTTCAAATTTTGCATGGTGATAAAGACCATATCGGTGAGTGCCAACATCTATATGGCGTTAAAAAAGTCTCTCAGGAATCCGCCCCACTGGGTCTCAAAGTTTCAATGTAATCCTTATGGAAGCAGTATTTGACACATAAACAAAGACATATGATCAGCTGTTGACTTTTGAATGCAGTAAATACATAAATAGCTGATAGCATTATTCCACAGATATTAGAACATAAACGGTGGTATGGATCATAAATATAATCAAATGACGACACTAGCTTGAGGTCCGTGACTTAGGAAGTGGTGAAGGAAGTAGTAAAGGTGAGCTGTCTGGAGCGTGGAATCTGTTTAAGACGATAAGATTTAGGTAGGTATCTGCATTCCTAAAATTCTATGGGAAGGGAGGAAAACGGGTCCGTGACGTAGGAAGTGGTGAAGGAAGTAGTCAAGGCAAGCTGCCCGGAGTGTGGGAGCTGTTTATGACGATTAGATTATGGTATCTGCATTCCTAAAATTCTATGGGAAGGGAAGGAAACAGGTCCGCGAAGTAGGAAGTGGTGAAGGAAATAGTCAAGGCGAGCTGTCCGGAGTGTGGAAACTGTTTATGACTTGTAACGCTTATCTGGTCGACAACGTTCTTGTCACCTGGTAAAGCCGTTTACACTTAAAATTTGTCCAAAAAGCTCAGCAAGCCAAGGTCCGGTTTTATTTGCTGGTTAAGGCTCAGACCCGTGACGTTTAGGACGATGTCCAACAATTTACGTTTTCGGTCTCATCACAGCCCACATAACCAACAATAAGATTAGCAAGGTGGTAAACTAACTTTCAACCGGATCGTGGAATAGGTTGGGATTTTAAAGTCCGGTTAATCCTGATTAATAGGTCGGAGAAATGACGTTATTTTCCCAACGGTCGTTGGATCGGAAGTAGGGTTATCCCGAGTGTCGTCGGCAGGGATATAGGTTGCTTCCCAACGGTCGTTGGATGGATAAATCGATTGGGTCGTTAAAGGTAGGATCGGTCCCAACGGTCGTTGGATCGGAAGTAAGGTTATCCCGAGTGTCGTCGGTAGGGATAAAGGTTACTTCCCAACGGTCGTTGGATGGATAAATCGATTGGGTCGTTAAAGGTAGGATCGGTCCCAA